TATTTTGCCTGGCAACCTTAATGTTATATTGATAAAATAATAGTTCTTCATTTATTATTAGCAAAGATAGTTTGAAATATTCTATTTAATAAATTTTTATTACTTTTCCTTTTAATAAATTTATTTTTAATAAATTTTGGAGGATTTTAATCCAAGTATTAATAGATTTTCATATAATAGGTTTTAATACATTTTTCTTGCCTGGGAACCTTAATGTTATATTGATAAAATGATAGTTATTAATTTATTATTAGCAAAGATAATTTGAAATATTGTATGAAAAAATTAAATTTTTAAATATTCCCCTGATTTTCTGCAAAGGAAATTACACTTAATATCTAGTGATAATTATTAAAATCTTCATGAAAAATTAGTTTAATTTGGAATCTAAAATGAAATTCATAATTAAAGCAATTGAGAAGTATATTAATATACTATACGGTGAATTATACTCATTGTAAAATTCTGTAAGAGAAAAATTACAATAATGTTTAAATTATCTACATGATAATGATGTATTCATTTATTTTTTTAATTTTACGGATAGAATAGAAATTATGAATGTTTATGAACTTCAAAACTTAGGGTGTAAAACCACTACCATTGTATGTATAATTTTCATTATTCAAATGAGATTGCATAAAGAATTTCCTACAGCATGATAAATTCATGACATTGTTTAAAATTCAGAATATCCTTTTACTTTTATAAGAGGAAAAACTACAATAATTTTTAGATTATCTACAAGTTATGTTTGTTATATTCCTTTATCTTTTTAATTTTATTGGTGGAATAGAAATTATGAATGTTTATGAATTTCGAAACTTAGGGTGTAGAACCACTACTATTGTATGTATAATTTTCATTATCAAAATGAGATTGCATAAAGAATTTCCTGGAATTTCCTGGAATTTGCATGATAAATTCACGACATTGTTTAAAATTCAAAATATCCTTTTACTTTTACTTTTGCTATGATTAAATGACCATCTATTAACACCTCTTTTTATTCATATTTATTCTAATTCACTTCCTACACAAATTTAACACCTCGGTTTATCTTCTCTAATTATAAAACATTAAAAATCACGCTTAAATTAACATCGAAATTTATTACTGCGATCACATAAAACCCCAGTTAAATTTCACTTACCAAAGCTAAACTAACGAAGACTTCAAACGCAATAATATCTACCACATGCGTTTCTTCTAAATCAGAAAAACGACAGGACCAATTACGAAGCATTGAATCAAACAATATTCAATAACAACTGCTAAAAACCTTGCAGTTAATCCACAATAAACTACCCATTACGTCTCAATCCAAGCCATCTATGTCTCACTTAGGAACTCCAACGCTGACTTCCTTCCTTCAAAGAGACGAGAAAAAGCTTCGAACTCCTTTCCAAATAATCGGTAAAAACCTCTTACGAATCCCTCCAATTTCACCATGTCGAATTCCGACACGTAAAGGAAAAATTCTACAATTAAAGCGCTCGCCTTAGGTATTTCCTCTTCTTTTCCCTAATTAACGAACCGGTATCCAGCTCGGGATTACGTATCGCACACTTCCCTTTCGTACAATGTTCATAAACCTTCGAGCAAACTCGCGATCCGCCACGAGTTCCTATCCAGATATCATCTGACATCCAGACAAACATCGGCACTGCACATCGACGCAAACAAACGATCGTATTTACTTTACTGCCGATGATCGTTCGATACCCAGGTATCGCTTTCTATTATCGCGGTTCCAGCAGGCGTCTTTATTAGAAAGGTGGAAACCATCATACTTTCTACGCGAGCTTAATAAGAGAAGATTTATTAGCCAAGCAGATAGGCATTACCAGCGGAAC